AATATATATATTTTTTTATAGTTACATTTATGAACTTAATAAAATTAACCTTACACAATGATAACGTTGAGCAATAAATATTTTCTTAATGTTTGTTTCGTGAAAAATATTTTAAATATAAAATTAATTGTTTGTATTGTATTGCAAATAGTTTATGTATACTTTTTAAATGTAAAATACTTAGAAAATTGTATTATAACGTTTGTGTTATTAGTTATTACTCATTTGATTTTCTGTAAAAAAATAAAGTAAATATTTCGACAACTAAATATTATTAACAACGTTTTATATATAATATAATTTATAATAATCTTCAATATTTCTATTATTTAAAAATGACTGAAGTGTATGTATCTTCTTGAATACATTACCAAGTTTAGGGTTAAATTTAAATATTATTATTCTTAATGAAATATTATTAAAATATTTCAAAATTACACTATTGCTGCGTGGGGGCAACGGCTTCAAGGGGTTATTTCGCATAAAAAATGAAAAATTCTAAAAACGTTTTTTATTTTAAATCGGATGTCCTGACGGTATTTTAAATAAGTTCAGAAAAATTATGATTCAAACCCTCTCACGTCGAATAAGTTTATTTTCTCGCAAGTCCCCCGGGTCAGATAGGAGTCCTTATCCTGGCTGTGACCGGTGGTCCGTGAAAAAGAGCCCTTCTCATGTGCTTCTTTATACAGATATAAATATTTTTTCGGTATCCCAATATCGTGTTCATCGGTGTATGCAAACAAAATAATGTACATACAAACTCGCCACCCCCTCGGCTGCATGCACCGGACACATGTTGGTTTACGATAATAATATAATACGTGAACAGCGGGCGTTTCAACTTAGTACTATTCAATAGGCTAAGGGCTTATAATATACATACGTACACCTTTTTATTTGCATTCCCTATATACGTATTAAGCGCCTAACGGTAATGCAAAAATGGAGTGCCGGCAAAAGAGATTACAAACGCGTAAACCCGTAAACTTGAAAGAAACATATCAATCGACTATATTATACACATTTGTACGCTTTTAATAATACAATTTTATATATTTTTCTTAACTATAGGAAAACGATTAAATAACTGGATGGGATTTGTTGGGGAAGCTCAGGCCTTTAACAACTCTTAGCTTCTTAACAAATAAAAAGTTACTTGGGGACTATGCCCGATTAATTGCTATTTTTAGAGAGCCTGATAAAATGTAGAAGGATTTTAACTTCCCCAGACTGTCTTTAGTTGTACTAGTGTCAAAGACGCAGATTTACATCAACATGAACTAAATACAATTACTTATTTTATTGCAAAGGCAATATACCTAGGAAAAAAAATTATAATAACCTAAGTGAACTCTTAATCATTTATGAGCTTCAACTTGGTTCGTATACTTACATTTATTTATTTAAGCTTAAAAAAGACGATGGTATTTGACCCTTATTTGACAACAGCAAACTAAAAAACAATATGAACATCTATAGTTCTTACATTATAATAGGAAATAATAGGTGGGAAAATATGAAAAAATAAAAACCATAGGTTCTTTTATATATAATAAACTAACTGTTTTATTCTAACTTCATAATAATTTCATAATGATAGCTTAATATTGTTATGGTGATATAGGTATTAATTATGATTATAATTATAAATATTATTATTATTCTTAGTTACTTAGAGCGCTCTCCAATTTACATATTCATGATTCACTCTTTTAGTAAAAAAAACAAAACAATTAAACATCAAACATATTAAAATAAAATATAGAAGAAAGTACGTTTATCAAGTAAGGGGAAAAACAGAGGTTACTGAGACAATAACAAATAATTAAACAAACATAATACACAAAAACTTTTCCGATTAAATTGAGTTGCAGTCCTACAGTACAATATTACATGATGATACCTTATAATAAAGACCGAACAAAAAGTAAAATATTATACAAACATATTTGGTGAGGAGAGAAAACAATTTAGGAACATTTTTTTCTAGGTAGGTATTTACACACAAACCAAACACCGGCGTCATTTTTTATCATACGAAAACAAATTTTCATTTTATGTTATAATAATATTATATCATAAGAATAAAAAAAAAACCTTGAGAAATTCTATACAATGAAAATGGTAATAATTACAAAACACGAATGCGTAACAAATTATCTAAATAATAATATAATAATAAAAAATAAAAAATAAACGAACAATTTTAACATGTATTCTGACAGACTTTTGTAATACAAATTAAATTAATAATGAACGTTTTATTCTTTTCAACATTTTGTATAATAATGAAATAAATGGAGAGCGATGAAAACAAAATAAACTAAGTACTAATTATCAAATAAAATGTCATGATCATATCATTAGGCCTTATTATTAACGCTAATCCGCTCTATACCAAAACACTTTTACATTTTTGAATTAATTCAACATATATATAATTATATAATATATTTTATTAGGCGTCTAACATTGGACAGGTGGATTCTTTTGTACTTTGAACTGACATGATTATTCAAAACTGTATTGTTGTACCTATTTGGTATTTAATGTTAAACATTTTCGTTAGTATAAACGCTAATCTTCGTTTAACTGTTTACACGCACTTAAAAAGTAGTTTTTTTTATGAATACATGTTGTTATTATTATTATAAACATAATTAACTCCCTATAATCTAAACACCCTAATGTCTAAAAGTATAAAAAAAACGAAAATCGTACTATTCTACAACTAACAATGACGATTAACACACGATGCAATTACGAATTTCAAGCAATTAACTCGGTAAAAAAAAATTACACTAAATAAATAGATTGGAAAACACTAAAAAAAACACAAGTATATATCATGTAAAAATAATAATAATAATAACTTTTAATGACAACTACTAGAAAGGAATAAAAGGATTTTGGTATTAAGTATAAACAGAAAAATGTTAATGTGATTAAGTACAAATTAAATGAAAATACCGTAAAATAATAATAATAATTTGATAATGCGCGTTACTCGAGACGCGAGAGAGGAAAAGTTAATTAAAAAACGATTAACAATTAAAATTGACAGACTATTATTTTCACTTATCATTCATTAAAATTGTATTTTACGTATACACGATTGCAGTATTGATTAAATAACTACGATTTGGCCGAATCAGATAGGTTAAATAACCAGATATAACCACTCAACGAGCCGACCTCGCAGCAAAATGTGAGCGCGAAGAGCATTGCTTGCTTAAGTCTTGATAATACCCCGAGTTCGTTTTCAAACATAATGTATGTATTTATTATTAATTTATTTATAATTAATGTACAATTCAGGATTTTAGGGCAAATTGCAAGAATCAGTCTGTACGACGTTTTGAACACATTTTTTAATAGGAGAGCAATTTTAAGATGCGTCCAATCCTAACTACCAGTATACATATCTTAACATTTAACTTTCCTCTGGCTCTCCCTCTCTCTATTTCTCCTTCGAACGTCATCAAATCTCGCAGTTTAATCAGCAACAAAATTACATAATCGCCTAAGAGTCCATTTTGTTAGTCAAAATCATTACTAATTATGATAGTTAAGAAAAACTGAGTAAGCGACACCGTCACCAAAATTCAAACTATTGCTTAAGATACACGCACAAGAAAATTAACTAAAATAAAAATACTAAAACAAAAAAAAAGTGCTAATAAAAAAAACAAAATGTGTAAAACTATAAAATAGGTAGTTCGAGTAGTCATTATTTTTTTTTTTTTTTTTAATGAATTATAAATTAATTTCGACTCTGACTAGATGCAAAACTAAATTCTTTTATTTCTTCATCATAAAATTATGTCCAAATGAGAAATGTATAATAATAAAAACTTCTTATTTTATAGGAGGTACTCTCTTTTTTTGTATTATTTTTTTTATTTACCTTAAACATTAAAAAGATACAAACCACTACAAACTCTAAAAAGTATTCTTAACACGATTTATACCATCTAAAAACCTTTTCATACACTTATACATTACAATATAATATAATAATAACACACACAATAACTATACAAGTGTAATTAAATTCCAATTAGTTATTAGAATTTACCAATTAAAAAAGTTTGTTTAGTATTGTTTTGAACTCTATCTACACTAACAAATGCGCTGTAACAAGTTTTTTTTACGTAAGGTATTTATTTCATTTGAACAGGTACAGATAAAACATGTCGGAGTAAACGTCGAAAACAAAATTATAAAAACAAAATTTACGGCGACAAAATCATATACAAAAAAAAAACCTCCTAGAAATGATTTAAATTTGTTTAATAAAAGATTTAATTCTCACCGATAATAAAATCCACTTAATAGACACAATATTGCTAACAATATCATAAATGAAATATTCCCATTTGTACGATCCGTTCCGTTGTTTTTTAAATTTATAATCCTACTCATTTAGACTATAAATTATTATTAATTAAAACATAATTTGTTTAATGTTGTACTATTAGTGCATTATAACGAAACATAAAGCATAAAAAATCACGATTCATAAATATTAACAATATAAAATAATAAATAAAGAAAAAAGTAATAAAATAAAAATTAAACTTGGGCTAAAAATGGGGTTAAATTAACTAAAAAGGGACGAATCTATAATCCGTAATTAATAAAATAAGTTTCTTACAGGTAACTCGAGGTAGACTGAGGTATATTTTTTAAAACAACAATTTTTTTGCGTCCCCCGAGTCTTATCAAAATAATAATAATAAACCGTATACCATTTTTCTGATTTGTTTCATAGATTATACCAACACATATTATTATAGTTAAACATTATTTCTTAAAAAAAATCATTTTTATTTGTTAGTTGCTTTGTTATCATCATAAATTAAATTGATACGATTTGTAAACAAAACAAGAGGTAGCGCGTTATTGAGCATTAGAACAAGAATATAAGTCTAATCACATATATAATATGTAAATAAAATTATCATATAGGTTTTACAGCTCAAATAAGTTAGTCATTATTTTTTTTTTTTTTTAATTTATTGTACTCTACGTATTTAAAAGTTGTACTGTTGTTCTAAGAAAAAAAATTACTGAAAATCGACAAATCGACACCAGCATATTTAAATCCCACCACTCCTTTACTCTCCAATACCACACTAAAAAAACGCATAAATAATAATTACTCTACCAAGATTCTTTTTTGAGAGCAAAATACTAGGACAATAAACGATTAGACGCTAACATGTCTACTATTACTATAAAAGGATTAAATACTAGAAATACTTATAAGCCTAATTATAATTTTCTTAAACGGCCGTGCATCAAGAGTATGTTATCAGTATATAAATGTTTATGCAACTGACTAGAATTTTTATGGATATTATTTATTTTTAGAAAGAAGATTACTATTTGTTTTTTATTTCCTTTTTTCGACGATCTATTTCTATAACATCGGACTTTTAATTAAACGAAACAAAGCTGTATGCGTTAACAAATACTTAACGCTATAGAAAACAATAAATTATAATTAATTTAAAACAAATAAAAAAACGTCTTGGTTTGGAAAAATATATAATGCTGTGTGAGTGTGAATGTGTATTACTTGCAGTGCAGTTGCTTAGACTAAGCCCAAATGGTTGATAGCGTCCATTATATCGGTGACTTTAGTGTCCCAAATGGAATGGAGCAGTTTTTCGATGGCCACCGACGTGTAGTCAGGGGCGGCAGCCTGTTGCTGTGGCTGCTGCTGAAACTGTTGCATTTCTTGTTGCTGGAATACCGCAGTGTTGATTGCGGTGGCGGCGACCGTCGTTTGAGGACGGGCGCCGGCCCCGGCCACAGAGGCCGGGACCGTGGCCGTATGTTATGGCCACTGGCGTGTGTAGTACAAAGCGAGCGGCTTTACGAAGTGGTAGTCCACCACCGAGCAGTGAGGGCAAGTCACTTTGCGACTATAGTCGCTGTAAAAGTTCAGCCGCTGGTGCGGCATCATCATAGCTTTCTGGCAACTGTTGCACTGTAAAAACAGAAAAAGAAAACCGTTCCGGTTAAGTAGATTGAAAAATCCCAATTCAAAAGACGTGAAAAGCTCGCAGTATCTTCCCCTCGCTATTCTGCGCACAACAATGGCGCTTTGCGGTAAGAAGGATTTAAGGTAGATTAAAATTGAAAGCGCGTTCTTCTTTAAGATGGAGGACGATGGCCATAAAAGGGGGAATAAAACGAGGTGACTTCAAAGAAAGGCTAAAACGTGGTTTTAGACGACGACGGAAAAATTGATTTGTCGCGAAATGAAAAATGATCAAGGTTCATCGATATTAATTAACATAAATACGGAAATGTCTTTCACCTCACGAGGTGCCACGGGGAATTAAATGCTAACCAGGAGAAGAGGGATCAGGTTCAAAGTTAATAATTGGGCCGCGGGGCTCGAAATTTGTTTTAATGGCGTCGTCAGATGAATTACTTAAAAATTAAAACCTTTTACGGGAAGACGCCCCAAACAAACAAACTTAGTCCGGGACGTCGTCAAAAAAACTCCGGCGGCATTTATTTTAACTCTTTCACAGTTTTCAAACACCGTAAAAAAACGCGTCAAGAAAATTGAAAGTATCAGTCCCGTTACCTTGAGGCGTTCGTTGCAACACGGCATGGCGGCGAATACGTCATAAGAGTACATGGTGCCCATGATAAGAGATGTGCCGTCCCACTGAGTCGAGCAGAATCGGCAGCACAGTTTCCGGTCGGCGTCCTTACCATCTAAACACTTCATGCACACCGCGTTCAGGAACAGAGCTCGTCCTTCGTTTTTCACCTGTAAATAAAATAAAAGAAAATAGGAAATTTGTTAGTAGGGAAGAAATAATAAAATGTACGTTTTCCGTCAACGACAAACATCATAATACACGCTTAGGAAAATAAGAACATACCACGCTCCCTTCCCTCACCCTCGTGCTTTTTTTATTTCACGACCGACTTCTGTGCACAACGTTTGCTGAAGAAAACGACCCCGAGGCGGTATTAGCGTATGGTTCACGGGGACTTGTAATAAACGCCCTTCTCACGCACCAACGACATCGCTACCGCCACCCGCGTTCTTGCTCAGAGTTCTAATGATTCGTGTCTGCTATAAGCAATAATACGAAATCGGCGGCCGCGGGCGCAATCATTAAAAAGTGTATAGCCGGAGAGGAGAAAAACCCAACGACGACAACGAGAAGAAGTTGTTTAAGAATAAAGTAATGTACGCACGGCCAAGCGGAAATATTGCGCGCGCGACGTTTAATGGGAAAAACTCGGCGGCAACGTATTTTTGGGTAAGACGTGAAGGGAGGGAAAGGGGAGAGAGACCTAAAAAAAAATACTAACTACTTATCCATTTTCTTCTTCTTCGCACACGATTTCCAAAGTATAGCAAAAGGGAAAAACCGACGACAAAGATCCATTAGACAAATAAAGAGAAAGTGATTTCCAATGTTAGACAACAATATCGGGTGCTCTGTGTACTCCCTGTTGTAATTGCCCCCAGACTTCACAAACCGTCATCGACAACACCACTTTGAGGATGATAAGATGTAGTGAACCGACACAATAACGAAGGGTGCAGGGAATCATATTTAAATTGTAAGATCTCAGGAATAAAGAAAAACTAAGAATTTGTAAACGACAGAAAGAAATATTAGCTATAATACAAAAGCAATATCTAGGAGTATAGACTGCCGACTTCTCGTATGATATAGAGTATTGAATTTACTAGTAGTCAACAATATGTTTATGGCGGTTTAACGTCGCAAAATAATTGAGGGAGAAAGACAAAACAAAACCGTGCTCGTAAACAACCCCTCGTGGAATATTTTAATTATAAAATCGGTAGAAAACGGCGTACGAGTCTTATTGAATGATGTAGAAAACCCTGTTGTTGTTTACAGAGCTGCTCGTGGAGTACATCACCTGAACGAGAGGATGCACGCGACCCAAAAGAAACCGCCAAAAGGCGCGCGTGTAAGCAAACATAAGTCGTGTCGTCATCATTGACGTCGAATTTATGCAACGACGACTTGGATGAAACTTTTTAATTGGACCCACCTCCACCCCAACAAATACGACGAATAATATTACACCGTAGATGATACTCGGTAGTCGTTATTTGCTAATCCGCAAAGCCGACCGGCCAGGCGTAATTAATTAAAAGAAAATCCACCAAAGGAATCATCGCGCTCTCTGTAAAAACTTGTTTGCTCCACTTACACACAAAGCATCCGACGTTAAAACCCTCCGTTGTTAAAGCGTTATAACTACAAGTACACATACAAAAAAGTACAAATCGAATATCTTTGAAAACGGCAAACATTTACATTTTACACACTCCGTCCACAATCTTCTACCCGCTAACCCACCTCGTAAAACAACTCCTCCGGAGTACAGAACACGCTTTTTGATATACAGAAGAAAATCATGTAAGCCGACCATGAAGAAAGATGTTGCCGTTGGTTTTCAAAACCAAGAACGGTCGGCTAATAAATTAGTTTGTCGGGGGCCAACGGTTACAAATCAGGAACAATTGAAAATGCAGAGCTCTATGGTCAACACACGAAACGCGTAATCGAATTATTACAATAATAATAATTGGCCAAACGTTAGATACAGTTAAATACAGCATTGTTGACCGTCGCCGCCATTAGCTAATGCGCGATAAATTAACTGTGGTTCTAAAATAATCCTCTTAATATCACTTTAAAAGCGATGCGCGCGACGGATAGGCTCCAGAGGCCGTTTGTCTTCTTCTCATCAAAAATAAAAAATCCTTCAATTTTTTTATTATGCAGAAACTTGTAAGTCGCTGGAAAAGGGTGTGACGGGACTAAAGCGAAGGGTCAAAAGTCGTTCGGACGCTGCGACTACGGTGGTTTAAGCGCGGTGTGTGTGGTGCCATACTAGCCGCTTAACCGCAGCCGGGGAAGACTGTAGGGAGGATTTACGAGACGTTATTTGTAAGAAGGAATAGGAGAGGAAGGACAAATCGCCGGAGTCGGGGTTCGTGTGAAATATGCTTTTACAAATATTAGCTTGTACGTGTGCACTTGTGCGATGACGGTCTTACATAAAAACGGTTCTTTTCTGTTCGGTCAAACGATCACTACTATAAACACACACTACAGTGCGTGTGCAATGTGCATATTATATATAAATCCCCTACGCCAAAGGAAACAGACGTAACGGACCCCAGATAAGTTAAGGGCATTTTTCCCTAAGGATGGCCGCACACAGCATTATTTTAGACGTAAATAAATCTAATGATGCACCGATTCGTCTAAAACATTGTTCGGCAGCGACATCTTATCCTAATACGTTGTTACTTATTACAGTCTAAAAAACGGTTGCAAACATAATGCTGTAGTATGTAAAAGTTTTCTACAACTTAATTGTGCGGCCGGCCTGAGCAATAATTGAGAAGCTTTTAACGGATACAAAACGACGGCTTACCTCCACAGCGTTTTTGCTGTACTGCTTGGGACTAAGAAAGAATGTGCCGTCGACCAAAGGATATCGATCAAACACCAGCATGACATCCGAGCACAGCACACAGTTGACACGCGATTGGTTTTGAGCTGCTAGTGATGACAAAATGAACGACCTGGTCTCGTCGTTACCGTGGTTGCCTTCGTCTTCAATCTGTGACAAAAAAGAGGGAAAACATTAAGCAAATGTTTACAGTAAAATGTTATCAAAACACAATTTAACATAGTAAAAACATTCAATCGTGTTAGATAGATCGGATACATATTACCTGATCTAGTAAATGTGTAATTAAACACGGTACATTTTATAAATAAATAAAGATTTATTTAAATGTAAAGTTGTTTTTTTATCTCGTAATTATGACCATTACCTCTGATTGCACAAGATGATTTTCTGTTGCGTTGTCTAGATCAGTTTTTCCGTTGCAATCAAACCCGATAGCACTTAGGGGCACTGTTGAAATAAAGAGTTTTTTTTTCTTAGCTGGACTTTCCGTAACAATGCATCATGGTCGAATCCCCGTCTATTGTGCGCGCATCGAGTAAAAGTCGAAATGAGAAGAGTTTTTTTGATTAAACCGATTACTTTTACCTCTCCGACCTTTGCACGTGTGCTGGACCGGACGAAGAAAGTGTAATAAAAGTGAAGTCCATTATTCTTTTTTTGCCAAAGCATGTTTGTTCAGGATTCGCAATTAGACGGCGGCCGGTTAATGGAAGCCAACGGGCACGGACCAACAACAAATACCACCACAAGCAGCCACCGCTGCCGACATTGTGTATAAATGGAAAACGAGATTGTTATTGGCAGGTCTATTAGGCGCGTGTAATGGACCCTCTCTCCTATATTTACGGAAGAGCAAAACTCCAAGCCCGAATGATTAAAAAAAAACTAAGTCACAGAGTATAATATTGTACATGGTTGCGAGTTACCGTCAGTACTTTAGTTACTAAGCTGGTATTTTTTAAACATTTTCATTTGAATAGGCTCTTTTACGGTGTGATCGAGGAAGCGAAATTGGTAAAACGTATGGTAAAGGGGCGTTCTTCCCAAATTCCATTACTGCAGTACAAGGGATAAAAGTAATCGTTGCCAATTACTCGAAACGTGAACGTTTTGTCGTCTTTCGGCTATCATATCAAGACTTCCTAAACGCGTTTCGTATAATATAGGAACAACGGCGGGCTAGGGTGGTGGTAAATATGCATTATATAAAAAATAAAGTGTGAAAAACGCTTAGAGCGGTAAAAAATAAGAACACATACGCGTTCTCGATATTAAAACTCGGCGCTCACTGAGGGTAGTTTATTTTGCAACCGGTAAGAGTGTAGGAATAGGGTGGCGGTCCAATTCCATAACTGTGAGTGAGATATGCGATCGAGGGTCGGGGGAGAAGAGTGAAAAACCAAGTGAAACACACTGTAGTTCTTTAAAAAAAAAACGCGCTAATAAACAACGAAACGCATCGACGCCCGCCGGAGACCTATAAACGCATACTGAGTGGCACAGGGGGTTATTTCTTTTGATTCCGGGCAAATATAATGTATATTGTTTGGCGCGTTTTTTTTTACTATTGTATTAACTCGTCGTGCTCAAGGGAGTAGGTTATAAGTACATGTTTTTTTTGTAATAATATGAACCGGAAAAATGCATGAAAAACTACGCCATTTTCTCTTTTAACATGTCGAGCTGCCCGAAACAGCTTATATCGTATATCCAGTAGCACTTTAAAAATAAGATTGGCTCTTTTAGACTGAGAGTACAATGTATTATATTTATCAGTTATAAATATAATACATTGTACTCTCAGTAGTAGCTCTCCCAAAGCTTAAATTCAAGGATTTGAGCACCGACATCATCATTTGTCTCATCACAAAATTTAAGTACAGAATATGTACGCCCCAAAAATTCTTTTAGAACGGAGAAGCGATTGGGTTTACTCGGAACAAGGTAAAAGAAAAATCGTTAAGCGGAAGTTAATTAAACGCGACTAGAACGGAAACACTCGGATATTTAAATGTACAGTGTACAAACACACAAATAATGAACTGTAAAGCGGCGTATTGTACTCTGTGATTTGGGCGCTTATATTCAATTTGCAGATTGAAAGTTTGTGTTGACTTTAAACTTTGATAGCGGAGGCGGAACCGTGTTTGCCTAAACCATTTTAAAACGTTTCATACACCGTCGACTACCGAACGGGTTATGATCTTCGCTGTGTATACGTGCATAGTACGACTTGCGAATTGAAGAGGGCGGCAGCGGCATTCATCATCATCACTCCCTTTTCGAGTAGGTATAATATAAATATCCCAGTGTATCCTTGAATGTGTTTACCGACAAGCGAAATCCATTTTACATATTAAAATTGAATACATGCGAAACCCGAACGTCAGAGAGCCGCTCTCGTTTAGCCAATTGAAATAATAACGTTACTGTACTCATCCACGCACGCTCTTCTCTCTCAATGTAATTCGTCAGACTGAACAACAAATTGGATGGACGAACGGCGTTCGTCTGACACAAAGGACTGTCAAATTACCAAACGGGAGGTTCAAATAATTATATTCATAAGGGTTGACCCCTACACGGGCTACGGCGGTGAAGAATTTCCACGGTTATTTTTTTATACATTCCTTGCTTATCATTATAACACCGACAAAAAAAAAACCCATAGAACCGACCCTTGGTCATTTGGGCGCTGAATTTGCATTGCAAAATGGCTTATAAAAAAGCACTTTTGGGTTGAACCAAAAAAAATACACGAACCCGACACTACCAAGAGTTTTGAATTTCAAACACAATCAACACACGGTCTATTTTTAGGTTCCAATTAGAGAACATTTTCGACCCTTTGAAGCGTTACGATATATCCACCTCGAATTTAAACAAACGCCAATAATTCCAGTTGATTTCAAATATATCTGAACTATCCAGTTTATTATATATTATATAGAGAAATAAAACTAAATGGCCTTCGGAGCGACAACTTTTTTCTTTTAGTTGGTAGCAATAGCAATAATAAGAACAACGTCCAGTATAATATAGATTAGGTATATAGTAAGTAATAACCGAAAGATAGGAGATAGTAAATCAACCTTTTTTTCCAAGTAGCAATCTCCTCTTACTTTACCGACTCAAACACACACACACACTCGTATATAAGAAACCACCGACAGAATGGACATAAAACGTGGGTAGGTCGATCGGAGGCGGCAAAAGGAAAACGATTTTTCTAATCCGGAAAATAAGCAAAAACCGGTCACACAAATTACCCATAGTCGATCGTAAACGGGCAGGGAAGAGGAAAAAACGGTTTAACTGCGATTTTATTGGACCGGTCGGTTTTATCGGCGTTTCGCATACGAACCGAGTGACCGGCGGAGGCGGAGAGGAAAGAAAAAGTAAATAAAAATGAAGAAAGAGGCATAAAAATGCCGAAAAACCCAACCGGGTAAGCGGTCGCCAGGGCACTTAAGAGAATGACCCTTTATAGCAATAATATACCATTGTGCTCGGAACGCTATATAGTTTATGTCGGTCTCATATAATACCGAGAGAGGTGTATTTTACGGGTTCCGCGCCAACCGACTCGTGTTCGGGCTTTCAATTTCCACCGAAAACTCTAATCCCGGAAATGGGTGCAACCTTCCTACCAAAAAAAAAACTTGGAACACCCTTCATGTGTCCGTTCTTATCTCGGTCTTAGCCTATAGAAATATCTACCGGGGAGGGAACTAGACTAGTATTAAAAACTCAATGACGACGTTCGGCATAGACCTAGTAACTCTGACAACGCGTATGGCGATCGGTTCTAAAACAATTAAGTTAATGTACATGACGATGAGTCTAGATGTGGATAACAGAATAATAATATTACTCAGGCAGATCGTTTTATTATATCTACGCGGTCATCGTCTCAGTACTTCACCAAAACGGCGTTGCTGTTGTTGATTGACTGCGTTCGTCTGGCAGAGATGGGCTACATGTGAATCAATTAGATGTCATTAGGCGTAATTAATGGACACGACGAGCAATTTATTGCAAACGGAGAGTCAATGGGCGAGAGTGGGCGACCTCCGTGAATTCAATTGGACAACCGTGAATACAACGCGATTTTTTATTACTTGCTAAGACTAACGAAACAAAAATTCAATAAAACGTTAAACCGGCAAAAAAAAGTCCCAACTCAATAGTCTGTAAACGGTATGCAATGGCAAAAGGAACGAAAGGGCTAGAAAGAATTTGATTAGAAGGCGGAGGTAGTAAAAGACCAAAAGGACCGCCTCTTCTCCCCACGCATTTCACAGAGACAACGGTATAGTTTTAAATTAAATCAGCTCAGGTACCGGACCGGGTACGAGATACGATTGTGTACGATCGACTACGGAATACTTAGCGAACAAAACTTCAAAAGAATCGGTAGAATTTGCGTTCAAAAATTCACAAAGTCAAAATGCACTCTTATACTGTACCTCTTCTTGCTACTCTTTCTCGTCGTACGCTTTAAAAATTAGTTCCTAATATAATTTGCCGCCGCCGCAGTGTTCCTCTACCGGAGACAACCGAATCTGATGGATACCGAACAAAACGTCAAAGGACGGTACTTATACGTGCGTTGTGGAAAAACGCTCGAAATTACTTTTCCATCAGCTACTTAAACCAAGAGGGTTAAGGCGGAGAGGTACCGGCTGCCTCAAGCACGATACACCTTACCCTTACACTCCTTCTCCTTCCAACTGGATATACAAAGGTGTATAGTACGTTAAACTGCAATATGGGTGGGCGCGAGGCTAAATCCGAAATTGATGGAAACGCGATGTGTAATCCGCGCACCGGTCGAGGAGAGGGCGTCATCGCCGTTGGGGCGGCAAAAGAGTAATAATATAATAACATGGTCGGCCGATTCGAGATTTGGCGCGGTTCATTCGGCACGCGGAATATCAGCTTTGTATAAAATACAACCGAGCCTACAGAACAGCGTCGCCTTACTACACATACACATACAAACGAGAGCCGTTGTATCATCGTATATTACATTTTTTTTTTATATACAAGAGCGCTCGGCGAATTTGTTTTGGTTGGACGGGTTTTATTCGATAATATTATAACTCCCTTTGCGCACGTTGCAAGCATATATTTAGATAGGATAA